ATTTTTATATCATTTTTTCTTAACTATTTTATTTGATATCATTCAGATTATTATATCTTCATTCATCATATATTACTTTTGTGATGTGAAAAATGAGAAATATTAAAAGAAAAAAAGAAAAATAAAGATTTAATTGAATGACAATCTATAAATGGTTACTTTAACTGTTTTTTGTTTTAACAATTATTGTTTAGGTTTGAATTATGTACCAAAAAAAAATTATTGTTTGAATTATATCTTGAATTGTTATTTTGGTATATACTTTTAATCATTTTTACATGAAAATTAAAAATACAAAAATATCATTAAAAAATACTTATATTTAATACTTACGACTAAAAAAGTATAATAATACTATTAAATTAATTAATACAAACATTACTAATTTAGAGTGAACTCCATGATTTTGTATGATGGGTAATGACTTTAAATACCGTACTCCTTATGGTCCCCCTTAAAGAAAATTATAGCTAAATCACTAATCCATTTAATATATATATATAATTAATGTTTATTAATCGAATCTATAAAATAATTTAAAATTAAAATATTTTTATTTTTATATTAAAAATAATTAAAATATTTTATTTTTTTAACAAAATTTTTTTAAAACAATATAATTTTGAATTATTTTTTTACCTAATTTTTTAAAATACAAATCGATACTACTTTTATATATATACATATATGTAAAAAGAAACAAGAAAAAAAAAAGGAACTCTCTTCAAAAGTTTTTTTAAAAAATTATATGAAATTGTATTAGTTAAACTATTTTTAACTATCAGTAGAAGAAAATATCCTAATATTACAAAGTCAGCCTTCTCTATTAATACTTAAATAAATGTAGTCTACACAAAATAAATTGCATTACTTATCTGAAGTACATCACAGATCTTTTATCAGCAATAAACATACATCACATGGAGAACATGAACTTTTTTTCCCTTTTTTTTTTTTTTTTTGTCGCCAGGTGATCGGCGATTGCAGTTGTGGTTGCGAAATAAGAAGTTCATCTTTTTCGAGCATGAATAGTCTGAATTTGACTGATCCTGACACTCCATTCACCTGCAGGATTGTAAAAAAGAAAAAAAGAGAGGAAAACTGTGATGGGTTAAAATGAAAGACAATTATTCTTCTATTTGCAAGGAAGAACGATTAAATTTTAAGTCTGAGAATGAACTTTACACCTGCTTTAGTAGGAGTCTATTGCATAGATGTAAATCCGAATGCACAACCCACACCAGCAGCAGCGGAACCACACTGTATTGCAATTATCATCAGAAATCTAGCATGAGAAAATGAGGCAATAATATAGCCAGAGACGACTTGCCGATGAATATACTTTCTAACATTTTCAACAAGAAATTTTTTTTAGAAAAAAAGAAAAGAAAACACCTTTTAGAAGGTATTTTTATGGAGTTAATATGATCATGATTTAATATACGATATTTATATAGTTTATAACCGGCAAGTCATCCTTGGCTGCACTACATAGCTTCATTCCCACATGCAAGACTTAAGATGAAAAAGAATCATTTCTTCCAAACAAAGAGGGAGTAGGGACTTTCCCTAAGAAGGAAACTAAACATTCTCTGAGGAATAAAGGGGAGTAACAAAAAACCCATCATTTGGATCTTTGGAAAAACAGGTAGAGAAGGAGAAGCCGATTGGACTAGAGACCCACATGGCAGCAGGGATGGACGAATGGGGTGTTGAGGCATGCAGATAAGGCCTCATGAAGTTGGTACTTAAAGAAGCCCCTTTTTTGGTTGTGTGTTAATAGTACTGGCTTTTGCACACCAAGGGTAGCCCTAGAACTGAATTTGTGGTCATTTAACTGGTAAAGAAACAGGAAAACAGAGTAAAGTGAAGGGTTCCAAATGGTGCTTAGATGTGACCATGCGTGGATCCATGGAGTGACAAACCCAAGAGAGTTTTAACTCATTTATTTAAGCCTTTAGATCTATCCCCCTCAGTAAAGGAAGCTATGAGTAGATTCAGAGTTGATTGATTAGTCTTTATATTCATTTAAGAGACATTACATGACTGATTTCCTGCCTTTGCTTGCACATTGCAGTAATGGAAGAGTAGGCAGAATCTGAGCTGATTGACCTTGATGAAGATGAGTTAGGTGGCTGAATTTACTACATTTGGCCAGCTAGCAGGAAAAAGTGCCAAATCAATCCCACCTAATTAGGATCACCTTTTGGAAAGTTAAGTAATTAATATAATTAAGTACCTAATGTTCTAGCTACGTTGGTATAACTTTGAGTTTGGTTTCGAAGGTTTCAAATTTCTATTATACTACAGTATTAATCTAAATGATGAATCTATGCTATCGAATCCCTAAATCAGAACTTAGTTTTTTTTTTTTTTTCTTTTAATGATTTGTCTAAAGTATATGTTAGTAGTACATTAATTAACTTTACTTTTTTATATTTAAATTTTTATAAAAAAATTAAAAAATTAATTTTAATTTTATTATTAATGTTATATGTATGTTTTAATTAAAAATTAATAAAATAAAAGTTATTTTTAATTTTTTAAATATAAATTAATTATAAAAATATATTTATTATAAGAACTTAAATTAAAATTTTCCTTCATTAGTTACCTCTGAGCATGTTAATCTCACGTTAATTAACTTTATTTTACTCTAACATTTATAGAGGCAATTGAATCATCCTCATCCCTATCTTCTTCTCTGATTTAATCGTCTTTAAGGCGGAGGACCACTTTGGACAGATAAGTGTGGAACAGATTTTGCAGAGAAATTACTGTAAAGAAAGATCACGTTCAGGCTTAGGCGCAAAAAAACAAGTACAGAAAAGACCAACTCAGAGCTAGAGATGTACCACTACCCACTGTGCTGTTCATATCTAACTGGTTTTCGGGTTCCATCACTTCATTCATGTCTGCTAACAGAATTTAAGGCATTTCTCTTTCATTTTTCACAGCGAACGATAACTATTCAGTCACATTATTTATAAATATTTATACTTTTTTTTTTTTAAACAATTATCATGAATGAGATTGAATCGTTATTAAAAAAAAAAAAAAGGTAAATTTTTATAAAAGTAATAAATGTCACTCGATCTTTATGTGTTAAGTTTAAAATATTTATATGTTATTAGATAAATAAATAAATAATATATATTACCCTATGTTACATTTTAAGAATTTGTTTTTGAACATTCAATGTGAGATTTGAACTCCCCCTTCACCAAGTCACATATATGAAAAATTTCTTACAAATGAGAGTTGATTACTAAACCAATTAGAAACTCTCTACCTCACATTATAAATTTTTTTTTTTAAAAATAATTTAGTTGATAAAGATGTAAATCTCAATCAACTAATCTAAATATTTTAAAACTTGAAAATGAATCACTTAAACTCAAAAATTTAATTACACTACATTTTAAGAATTTGTCGTAAATAAACACTAGAAATAAATTATTTTACTTCAAATATGACTGTTTTTTATACTAAATCATCGAAATTTACGCGACCACAAGATTTTACAATGTCGTGGACCTGAGCTTGTCCTTTCACTAGTGTTGGAGGACTGCATTAATCTGATTGGGCATTGCCTTTTTTCAAAACAGAAAAAAAAGTTAATCTGATGGACCATCGGAATCACTTTCTTATAATAAAAGAGACTAATGACAAAACTTAAAAAACCCTCCCCTCAACAAGTTTACTTGCGAGTCAAATTCCCTTAATAAAAAGCATAGTAGACTTTGGTTCGGGCATTACCTAGTTGTAATAAATTATTTTGTTTCAAATATAAATCTGTTTTTTTTTATATTAATTTTTT